TCTATAGTGTCACTCATAGAACAGGTATTCGAGATCACTTCGGCTGTGACAGTAGGCTCATTTTGTTCGTTTGTTGATTTTCGTGCTAATAATAATAAAACATTTCCGATGTGATATGAACTACTTATTTTAATCTAGTGACGTAACTGTTAGTTGGATTATATAGAAATAAAACAGTCATGACTGAACGTTTACCAAAGTTAATGAGTTTCGTTAACATTGAAAGCATTCTTCATTTAATTGTAATTATGACAAGTTATTATTACTGAAAATAATATAATGAAATTCATTTATTACTAATTTGGTGCTGATTTGATAAAATTATAATGTATATATATATATATTTAAATCGAACTGTTCGAGTGTACCCCGAATAACGTGAACAATTCAGACCGGAAACCACTTCTTTCGAGAGAAGTATATTAGAACATTCCTTAGTCAGAAACATACGACGCCCTCCAGTGGCACAGCGGAATGTCTGCGGACTTGCAACGCCAGAAACTGGGGTTTGATACCGTGGTGGGCAGAGTAAAGATAGCCCATTGTGTAGCTTTGTGCTTTATTTCAAAATAAACAAACAAACATATGAAATAGCACCGGAAATGGGCTGTGTAAAATATAGGCTTAGATACTTAAAGAGTCGTTAATTATTTTCTGGTTGTAAAGGTAGATATTTAACAACTTAGTTTAAATAAATATACGTTTTTCTTCGACTTTATTCTAGTATGGGAATAAATTTAGTATTTTATTTAGTTTTTTATAAACAAACGACCGCTAAAAGCCTAGTCTCTGCTCAGAACAGTAAGATAGGGTTATCGTCTCTGTGCTAATATATATATGATGTATAAACCAAATTCGGAATCGAACTCCTTGTTAAATATAAAACAAATCCTGTATTAATTCAAAAATACAATAACAGAAACTTTTACAGTAGGCAAGTTTTTATTTTAATAATTACAACGTTCGGACGTATATTAACGACCCATCGTCGGGCAAGAGTTACATTTTATAACAGTTCTTTTTGTATTTTTGATTTAATTATATGGTTCGGTAGGTTCCATACTCAATATTAATTGTCTGTGTAAATAAACTGCTTCCACAATTTTGTAGCTAGCAGAACCAAGCTTGGCAGGGAGATTCGGAGTGGCATGAGGGGGGGGGGGGTTCCTTATTTACATGGCGTAGCCCAAATGCTTTTATTTGTTTGAGATACTACCGGAAGTGGGTTTAAAACGCGCCCGATAGGTCATCCAGATACGAAGGAGTCTGGGTTTAAGTTTGCAGGATCGTTGAACTCGAATCTGGCATCCGATTTTGTGTTGCTGGTTCCCCATCCTCGGGGGCAACATTTTTCAATCTGTATTCATACTCCCACTCACAATCTAGCGAGATCAAACTTGCCACACACGCTCAGGTACCACGGTTTTCGGTTACAGGACCCCCCCCCCCTCCCATTGAGGTAGCTATAGAAATAATTGTGCATAATTGAGGAGTTTGGTCAGTAGACTGGTGCTTCTGTGAATGTGGGAGTAGTCATTTTTTTTATTTTTTTTTGCTGTCATGTGTTTTATAATAAAGAGAATTAATTTAAAGATATATTTGGATATCCATATGGAATACACCCAGTAGTACAATCTATTGACTGAGATTGAATCAATGGTAATTGTACGGACTTGCAAAGCTAAAATCTGGGACTCGATTCCACGCGATGGACAGAGTACAGATAAACCACTGCGTAGCCTTCCACTAAGAAAAACATAAGAACTTAAGACTAAGTGATAATAACTAAAAACAGATACCCCGCTTATCGGCTGAATGTTTATTTAAGGCTTAACAACAGTCAAACGAATACAGATGGGAATATTTATCTAAATCTTAATAACGGCCCGGCATGGCCAGGTGGTTAGGGCGCTCGACTCGCAGTCTGCGGGTCGCGGGTTCGAATCCACGTCCCACCAAATATGCTCTCCCTTTCAGCCGTGGGGGCGTTATAAAGTGACGGTCAATCCCACTATTCGTTGGTAAAAGAGTAGCCAAAGAGTTGGCGGTGGGTGGTAGTCTTACACTGCTAAATTATGGACGGCTAGCGCAGATAGCCCTCGTGTAGCTTTGCGCGAAATTCAAAACCAAACAAGCTTAATAACTGTCACAGATATACGAATACGGATGTGAATATAATTATGGTATTTTTTTCTCTTATAATATGATTTCAAATATGTCCTTTCCAAACCTTGCACAGCAGGGAAGCTATTTCTTTAAATATTATTATGCGAAAATATATTTTCAAACGTTGATTCGAAGAAATGTATTCCTCTCAATTTTATTTTTCGTTATTTTAATATTAGACTGTAGGTGGTATTCATACGAACCCGATTACGTCATCCGAACGTTTTATTCCTGTTGTTGCTGTTAATAGTATGAGGATCAGCTACGTATGAAAAAGGAAATAAGCTAAAAGATGCTGAGCAGATAAAGATAAAGAAAGCTTAATATGGAAATAATAAAACAGACTCCGAAACTAGTCTGGCTCACAGACACACACTCCAATGAAAGAATAGACCATTCCAAGCTTTTACTTGTTGTTAAACAAGTGTTTAAACAACTGTATTCAATTATGTACAAGCTGCCTAGTGTTCGCTAACAATACCGAG